CAACTAAAAAGTTGCAAGAATTTAGAGGATTTGTTAAATACTATATGGCATATAAAATTGCAAACTCTTTTGTACCCAATAAAATGAAGTCTTACATATAGCCAACAGATGAAAAAAAGCTCAATATCGCTGATCATTAGAGAAATGCAAATTAAAACCACAGTGAGATACCATCTCAACCAGTCAGAATGGCTATAATTAAAAAGTCAAAAAACAACAGATGATGGCAAAATTGCAGAGCAAAGGGAATGCTTATACACTGTTGTTGGGAGTGTAAACCAGTTCAGCCACTGTGGAAAGTAGTGTGGAGATTCCTCAAAGAAAAAACAGAAATACCATTCAACCCAGCAATCCCATTACTGGGTGTATACCCAAAGGAATACAAATCATTCTGCCATAAAGACGTATCATGTGTATGTTCACTGCAGCACTATTTACAATAGCAAAGACATAGAATCAACCTAAATATTCATCAATGGCAGATTGGATAAAGAAAGTGTGGTCCATTTACACCATGGAATACTATGCAGTCATAAAAAAGAATAAGATCATATTCTTTGCAGGAATACAGATGGAACTGGAGGCCATTATCCTTAGCAAGCTAACACAGGAACAGAAAACCAAATACTGCATGTTCTCAGTTTTAACTGGGAGCTAAACAATGAAAACACATGGACCCAAAGAGAAAAACAACAGACACTGGGTCCTACTTGTGGGTGGAGGGTGAGAAGAGGGAGGATTAGAAAAAAATAACGATGGGTACTAGGCTTAGTACCTGGATGACAGAATAATCTGTACAACAAACCTCCATGACACAAGTTTACTTATACATGAAACCTGCACATGTACCCCCGAACCTAAAATAAAAGTTTAAAAAATAAAAAATGAGGATTAAAGATATTCACGATACACTACTTCTGTGGTTTCAATGTGTTCCCAAAGAAGCAGTCATTGAACATTTAATCCTCACTGCAATGATGTTAGGAGGTGGGGCCTAATGGGAGGTGTTTAGGTCAAGAGGGCTTCACCCTCATTGATAGATTGATGCTGATTACAAAAGGACTTGAGGTTGAATTTAATTCCTTGCTCTCTCTTGCCATGTGATGTCTTTTGCCACGTTGTGATGCAGCAAGAAGGTTCTTACTAGATGCCAGTGCCATGCTCTTGGGCTTCCCAGCCTCTAGTACCCAGTACCATGAGCCAAATAAATTTCTTTCCATTATAAGTTACCCAGTCTGTGGTATTCTGTTGTAGCAACAGAAAACAGACTAAGACAACCACTAAATTAAAGAAGCAAGTTACAAAACTATAATTTCAGTTTTACAAGTAAAAAGATATACATGTATATATTTGTATGCAGAAAGAATAAATATAATAATACCTGTGGTTATCTCCACTTGATGAAATTATGAAGTTTTATTTTCTTCTTTTCATAAATCTGTATTTTCTCAATTTCTACAATATGCATGTTCATAATTTGTAAATATTACTTTTAAACTAATAAAAACTAATATGTATATTGCCCCACCATCTGCTGACTTATGGCAAATTCCTCAACATGTCTGTTTCCTATAAAAGGAAGATAATGCCATCCAAGCTATAGCATTGCTGTGGCCTAAATAAAGTGTGAATATGCTAAACCCAGCCTGTCTCATGGTAGGCACTCATGAATGGGTAGAATCTGACATTCAGCCTGTCCTGACTACCATTATCTTTGGCCATTCAGAAGAGTCGTCCATCTGTATGCCTAAACTACATGGCATAAATATTTTATTAAACTGATATTGGTGAACAGATCTAATGTCATTCATTAACTAACCATTTTATTTCAGTTGTTCACCCTAATCTTAAATTTTGAAGGCTTAAACAGGGTCCAGCCAGGTTACAAATGACTTTTGTTCTAACTTCATTTCCAAGTTACACATTAGTAAATAGTGCTTTCTCAAACTAAACTTAAAACACCTTTTTAATCTATGAAATACTGGAAATCTGTGTAATGTTTTCAATAGGACACAATGGCTTTGAACTAGCAATTAAACAAGAATAATGAAATAATAGTTACAGATATTTATCTAGATGCATGGGGCTTGGAAAAAGCAGTTTAATTCGAAATAAAAGGTAAATGGAGACTTGTGTGAAGAATTTAATGGGGGATTTCAGAGTAAGCTACGTCAAACACAAAGAGTTTTTACAGTAGGGCAGAGTTGTCCACCTCAACTTACTAGTTCAACAAACAAGGCAAAAGATTTAGGCCTTGAGGATACAAGTAAGCAAAGAGATAGCTTCCCAAATCCTTCCTGGTTCCTCATGGAAGCTGACTGCAAGTTAGGTGGTTCCCACAGTGCACAGAAGCAACGCAACCACTGCGTCCTTCCCTGCCTTTTGTGTAATGAGCCTGGGGTGAAGCATATCAACCCTAAAGGGCTGACGTAGTGCCTTGTAAGGGCTTCTTTTATATCATGGTCTGCTGCACAGGGGCTTATGAAAACATCGCACAGGGTTTTAATTTTTTTTTTTTTTGCATAAGTCTATCAATCACTAGCTTTAATTTTATGCTTGTTAATCAAAATGAGGGCTGTGCCTTTACTTAAAATGGAATAAAAATATTCCTGTGGTGGCTGAAGAGGAATTAGAAGACAGAGGAAGAAGTGAGAGTTTGCCTCCAATTGAATTAATAAAAGTATGCATGGTAAAATAAGACAAAAGTTACAATATCACGTGTACTCAAGCAGCTGCGAGAAAAGAAAGATGACCAGGAGAATATGGCAGATAAAATTGCGCCAGACAAAAGCAAGAGAGCACTCATTCAGTCCGGAAGGTTTATAATCCGGTATGTGCCAGCCCTCTATCCTTCAACTTGGTGTGTCAGGGATTTATTTAGTAGGATCTTAGAGAAATTGCTTTTGTAGTATGTTAACAACTTTACGTTCTAAATAAGACCTTTATTGTATGTACTAAAAACTATAAATAAAATAAAAGGCAGTTGCCTTTTCTTTTTCAGCTAGATGATAATTACTCATTAAGGGTTGATGTTGCTTACATGGATATATTTACAATACCTTGTTCAACACCTTTTAAAAAAATCTTTTGAGGCCAGGCTTGGTGGCTCACGCCTGTAATCCCAGTACTTTGGGAGGCCGAGGAGGGAAGATCACTTGAGGTTGGGAGTTCGAGACCAGCCTGGCCAACATGGTGAAATACTGTCTCTACTAAAAATACAAATATATATATATATACACACATACACATATATATATATGTATATATATTAGTCTGGCATGATGGCACAGGCCTGTAATCCCAGCTACTCAAGAAGCTGAGGCAGGAGAATCACTTGAACCCGGGAGGCGGAAGTTGCAGTGAGCCGAGATTGCTCCACTGCACTCCAGACTGGGTGACAGAGCAAGATTCCATCCCCCCCCCCAAAAAAGAAAAATCTGTTGAGTTTACTTTACTTTTTTAAGCATTTTATGTCTGTAAACTGTTTTCTGATTTTCCCCAGTTCTTATAGCCCACAACCTTCCAAGCTCACCTGCCTCTTAGTCTAGTTCTAGCTCAGAGTATACTTTAAAATTCCACAGATTTCAAGTCTGGACTCTGTTTTCTAACAAGTGGGGCAAATTCCTTTGCATTTCTGAGCCTCTGTCCTCACTTAAAGGGAGGCAATACTAGTGCCCACCAGTCTGGTTTATTGAAAGAAGAACAGGTAAAGAGAATGTAAAGTATTCAACAGAGCACTTGGCATCTGCTGTGGCTCAGGAAACAGCACTGCAGCCGCAGGTCAGTGTGGACGCTGTGCATGTGCTAAGTGAGGCAGTGTGTGTTTTCCATGCCCACATAAAAATGTTTGCCAGTCAGAGATTTATGCCTCATCCAGTGCCCGCTAAGCTGCTATGAAAAGATAACAATTCAGTCACAGTCTGGAAACAAGAAAAAGCTACCTGCAATGCTGAATTATCCACAGTCCTACAGTAGCTTGTAGACCTACTTGGTGATGATGGTCTCTGTGTTTGAATAAATAACTTCACAGAAATACATTTTCATTGCACCCATGTTGACAATACATTGGAGCTCATCATTTCAATCTCATCTCCTGTCATGCTTTTTCTGATTCACTGGCCATACTAGTCTTTTTCAGTTCAATGGGTGTTCCAAACATTTTCCCACCTCAAACCCCTCAAACACAACATTTGCTGTACGTTTTCTTTCTGTAGAAGAAGAAAGCCAAAAAGCTAGGGAAATCTCAACCTCCTGGTTCTGAAGGCTTTCCAGTAAATCTTGTTTTATTAAGCGATGCTTAATAATTATTTTATTTAACTGAAAGTTAAAATGAAACTTCCTATGTAAATGCATCAAACAAGTAAGAATGGTATTTAAGGACATAAAGAAATAGTAAAATTAAGGAAGTTGATCTATTTAAGGACAGGTAACAAATTCCCTCAAGCTTTTTCTTGGAAACACTTTTCTTTTGGCTCAGTCTCACCTTTCAAACATATCAGAAAAATAATATTGATTTTGTGTATTGTCAAGGCGTAAAAAGCTGATATGGAAGGCACTTTCTAAATTTTTCAAGATACAAAATGGTCACTGTGACTAAGCATACAGTGTGCCTTTCTGCATTAGTTGGTTCCTCACCCAATTACATCAGGAGTTTTAAACTTTAAAATGTTTAAAAGTAAATATTATTTGAGTATACTTGATTCCACTTTTTTGGTCACTAGCTTCTGTTGAAGTGGAAGGGTACACTCTAAGAAAGTTAATTGAATTTAAAGATATTGAAATAAGAATTCCCTTCAATTCAATCAATATACCTGTACATGTTGAGATTACTGTTCATGTGCATGGAGTTTCTAGAAAAATGATGGCAACAAAAACACAATGTCTGCTGACCTTGGGTTCTGTCTACAAAGACCTCAGAAACATTTTAGGCATTGCTTTCAATTACTCAACACTCTATAATCTGTATACATTCAGACATTCAATCAGCAAACATTACTGACCATCTACTGCATGGTAGGGCATGGGCTTGACATTTGCTATGATGAACAAGGCCCTTTGTTAACCTGCTACTTCTCCAGTCTCCTCTGCCAACCAATCCTCACCCAGCGCCCCAGCTCGGGACATGCTGTATCCCAGTGCTGCATGCTCTGTTCACTCCATAATAACCAGGAAGTTAGCCCTGTAGCACCCGTAACCTCCTCCTGTGGTGGACCACTTACTACCTTGGGCTGAACTCATTTATCTTGAGTCCATTACCACTGAAGGCTGACTCTGAGCAACCCTTCACTGCTTATTGCATCACAGTGCTGGCGTGTACACCACAGAGGCTCAATAGATATTTGTTACACAAGCAGATTGTGGCCAGTATCCAATATTTCAAAATAGGGTATATGGAAGTCTTAGATCCCAGTCAATTAATACTTTATAATCTGCTCTCAAGTAACATGGATCTAGGGGCTCTCATAACTAGAAATGGTTTAGAAAGTAGATGTCAACACTGACCCTCAGGGCAAAAATTCCTTTCATAGCAAACCTGCCATTTCCACAGAAGTAACTGTGATTTGGAAAGTTCTCCTGAAGTGGCTGTAGGGTGACAGTTTGCCGACACCATCTACCTTGCCAGATTCAAACCCTAGAACAGTCATGCCTGAGGAGCCTGCCAAGTCTTCTGCTCCAAACCTCTCATTTTACAGATGAAATCACAAACCAGCAAGGTGACATGAACACAGTGAGTGGAAAACAAAGCTCTCTGGCTCCCAGCCTCATGATACTTTATTTCATACAAATGTCTCCTGTATTTGGTTATATCTGTGAACATTTCATGGGTGATGGATCAGGACAGTTATCTGTGAATTATACTCCCACCACAGCCAGTGGAAGGAGAGTTCTCAGTCTTGTCCCTGATTCCAGGTTCCAGTTCTACCTCTTGGGCCTGGGATGATGAAGGAGATTGGTGAGTCACATTTTAATACCATCAACCAAGGGTCAACAACTTCCACCCAGCCTGAGGAAGCTGCAGGCATCATACCCACCTCCCTACAGTGAAACTGCTGCCCATTCCAATGCCATTCACGCACGCACTGGCCCAAAAGCTTTTGAATGAAGAGTCATCCTGATCTCACTAAAACAAACGCTACCTCATTAGGTGCTATGACTACACCATGGACCCTGAGCCAGGATGGAATAAGGCCAGGAGTCAGAGGGTGAGTCAGCAGAATAAAATGGCTACTTAGGAAACTCCACCAGACACAGGAAAAAGGTGGGGCAAGACGATATCCAGCACCCTCCCCTGACATCACAGGCACTCTTTTTTTTTTTTTTGAGACGGAGTCTCGCTCTGTCGCCCAGGCTGGAGTGCAGTGGCCGGATCTCAGCTCACTTCAAGCTCGGCCTCCCAGGTTTACGCCATTCTCCTGCCTCAGCCTCCCGAGTAGCTGGGACTACAGATGCCCGCTACCTCGCCCGGCTAGTTTTTTGTATTTTTAGTAGAGACGGGGTTTCACCGTGTTAGCCAGGATGGTCTTGATCTCCTGACCTCGTGATCCGCCCGTCTCGGCCTCCCAAAGTGCTGGGATTACAGGCTTGAGCCACCGCGCCCGGCCTCACAGCCACTCTTAAAAAGGTCTCTCTCTTCACAACTCCCCACTTCTGTCCCCAGACTCAACGTTCACTTCCAGGACAGGTTCCTGAAGAAGGATTGAGGCCCCTGCTCTTCAGGTTTAGCAGCAGAGAGTGAGCCAGTGCTCTTCACCCTCTCTGTGCCAGGTCTTGGGAGAGGGTTAACGAGCCAATGTAGTGGTTGCCCCATGAGCACGTCATAGCCTCAGCTGAAGAACAAAGACCCAACAGGCACAAATGCAGGAGGCACACCATGGGTGGATCATGACTTATCTCAGTGAAGGAATCTTCATCTAAGAATTGTTTTCCTCCTGCAGACAAACCAGAAGATGAACCTTCCACCCTCTTATCAATCTGCAGAGATTCCTTCCAAATTCAGACAGGACATTCAACATTTAGAACAGAGACATAGTAATCAAAGGTTATGATAGTTTAAGGTGGATATAACACATTCTAGGGAAGGTTCATTCCTCCTTGTCACAGGGGCTACAAGTGAGACATTGACTAAGCACAGTGAGAAGATGGTTGAATGAGAACTTGTAGAATATTAGTCTTAAACTCTCTTTCGATGTAACTTTCTTTAGTGCAGGTTTCTCTTGTGGCACCAATATTACTTCATTACACGTATCTGTTTATATAATTCCCTTTTTTCAACTGTATTAAAGGATAAGACCTTATCTTTTTACCATTGTATGACCACGACATAATTAACATACCTGAGAGACAGTAGGAGTTTAATAAATAAATCTTGTATAATCACATTTAGCTAGATTTTCAGAAGGTACTATACAGATTGGTTAGAAGCTTTCATGTTAACAAGAAATAAGTCTTACATCTTATCTCCATGTTTATATAAAATCAAAATACTAAACAGAATCTTACTCTCATAAACTGACTACAACTCATGAAAATAAACTACAATTGTCTGTTTAAACTTCACTGCTTGGAACAGAAAACTAAGTAACTGTGTTCTCAATTCCAAATGGGAGCTAAACATTGAGTACACAAGGACAAAAAAAAAAAAGGAGTGGAGGATCAACAGACACCAGGGCTTACTTTAAGGTGGAGGGCGGAAGAAGGGTGAGGATCAAGAAACTACCAGTCAGTACTATGCTTATTACCTGGGTGATGAAATACTCTGTACACCAAATCCTTGAGACATACAACTCACCTATAAAATAAGCCTCCACATGTACCCTCTGAACATAAAAGTCAGAAGGAAGGAAGGAAGGAAGGAAAGAAGGAAGGAAGGAAGGAAGGAAGGAAGGAAGGAAGGAGAGAGAGAGTGAGAAAGCAAGCAGGAAGGAAGGAAGAAAGGAGAAAGAGAAAGCAAGAAGGAAGGAAGGAAGAAGGAAGGAAGAAAAAAGAAAGAGAAAGAAAGAAAGAGAAAGAAAGAAAGAAAGAAAGAAAGAAAGAAAGAAAGAAAGAAAGAAAGAAAGAAAGAAAGAAAGAAAGGAAGGAAGGAAGGAAGGAAGGAAGGAAGGAAGGAAGGAAGGAAGGAAGGAAGGAAGGAAGGAAGGGAAAGAGAGAGAAAGAGAAAGAGAGAGAGAAAGAAGAAAGAAAGAAAGATTGAAGACCAGTATGTGTTGTTCTCTGCATGGACCTCGTCTTTAAATATATTTAAATTGTGAGAATAATTGTTTTTGTCTTCACAGTCAATTCCTCCACATTTGACTGAGCGTTAAATCACAAATGAATTCAGTTTTTCCTGGCTATCCTATTCTTGCTTCAAATTTTTGTGATTTGTACTCAAGTCGTATCATGTATTTTACTTATAGGATCTTGTAATTTTCCTGTTTATTTGTTCACACTTCATCGTTGGCATAAAAGATTTTACCCTATCGGTTTTCTTTCTATGACTCGATTTTAATGCTTATATGCTTTAAGAAGTAAGTTCTAAAATTTAAAAAAAAAGAAAAAAGAAAAAAAAAAAACCGTTCCTGCTTATGGTAGACAGAATAATGTCTCCTCCCCCCCATAGATGTTCACATCCTTATCCCCAGAACCTGTAAATATGTGGCCTTACTTGCCAAAAGGAACTTGGACAATTTGATAAAAGTTAAGGACTTTGAGATTGAGAGATTATTCTGGATTAACTGGGTGGGCCTCATTAAACTGTATAGGTCTTTAAAAGCAGAGAACATTTCCTGGCTATGGTTGTGGAGCGATATGACCATGGAAGGAGGATTCAGAGAGCTGCTGGCTTTGAATATGGGAGGAAGCAGCCATGAGCCAAGGAATGCGGATGTCCTCTACAAGCTGGAAAAGGCCAGGAAACAGATCCTGCCCTAGGAAACAGATCCTCCCCTAGGGAATGCATGCTACCTCACCTTGATTTTAGCCAAGGGAACCCGGATCTACAGAGATGTCAGATAATGTATTGGTGTCGTTTTAAGCCACTATGTCTGCGGTAATTGGTTATAGCAACAACAGAAAAACCATACATAACCCAAACCCTAGCAACTCACAAGCTAGAAGGAAGCTCTCTGAACTTGCATTTCCTCATCTATAAAAGTAGAGATAATACACGCTAAAAGACTCCTGTGAAGATGAAATGCAATGAAAAATGCAGAAAGCTTAATTCAGTGCCTGCAACCTCCGAAGTGAGGGGAGCTGTTCTCTGAATTAACTGGGATGTGAGCCCCACAGCCACTTACAGTCCCGTAGTTGGCCTCCCCTCTGTTCTCCTGGGGTGAAAAGCGTTCTTTCTGAGGATGCTGGTTAGAGAAGTCACCTCTATTCGCATGCGCAGGGCTGGGCAAGATCCTTGGGTCTCATAAACTGTTTGAGAAGCAATAGTAGACTTCCCAGGCGACCAAGGCATCTCCCATGTTCTATAGTCCCAAGGCACCAGCACTGAGGAGGAGCGGGCCACCCCCAGGTGTCACCGCAGCCCTGTTATTGGCCCCTGCAGCTTTGCCTTCCTGGTCTGAGATGATACACTCTAGAGGGAGACGACCAGTAACAGGATTCCAAAGACCATATACTCTCAGACTCAGTTAAACCATATGGCCTGCCTTGTTGCCTCGTTTAGAAATAGTTATTTTCCATTCTAAAGTTTCGATGAATAAATCCAATTTTGCACAACGGAGATGCCTGCAGCCGGTTTTAGCTGGCGCTTGGTCCTCGCATTGACGATGAGTTTAGAGCGCCGCCTAGTGGGAACAATGAGAGGCAGCAGTGACAATATTTTGTAGAGGAAAAAACTATGAAGGGAGACGTCGGGAACGTTATAAATAGAAAGTCCCAAGGTCCTGGTGATGGGCTGCTGTTTTATGCGCTTGCTTGACCTAAATGAGCCATATCCCAAGGTGACTAGCTCATCTAAAAAGGCGTCCTAGCTGCATCAGGATATTCATCTTATCTAGGTCTCAAACATCCTAAATAGTAGTGTATTTCATTTACTGTAGAATATTTTGGTAAATTTTCCCCCTTTATTTTCATAAGGCAGAAACATGAAATTGACCTTTTCCTTAGAAATTTTCATATTCGAAATATTAAAGGTTATTACTGAGAATGTTGAATTTTAATAAACTTTAAGTTTATTCATTTCTATTGTTTTATCTGTTTTTCACTAGGAATCCAGCTACACACCATTGAGATATGTTTGTTTCAAACAGATTTTAATAATTCTATAGCAGAACTATTCCCTATATTACCCTTTTCTATTCTCTCACATTCTGTTTAATTTCTGAAAATTTTCCTTATTCTTTAGCTCAATTTTTTTTACTTCAACTAGTTTTCTGAAAGGGTTATATTTAATAACTTTTTGTCACCTTATTTTGGAAAAATAAAATCTCTCTTATTTACTCCGTACCTTTCTTTAGAGGAAGAGTATATTGAAAGAAGTGGTTTTGCTCAAAGAATTTTAAATATAGAAAGCTGCTACTTGACTAGCTGAAAACTGGACATTTTTCTATAATGTCAAAACACATCATAGAAACTGAGAAACTTGCTGGATTTTATACTACTTATCCAACTTCTCTTCCTTGGTTGCGATTTCCACTAACTGGATGTTAGCCATCCCCCTCCACTCTATCCTCTTCTCTACACAGAAGTAATTTGCTGACTCCAAACCCTGTCTGTTCTACAGATTATCCCCTGAGTGCCAGCCCTACAGTAATAAACTGGCATTAAACATCTCCACTTCAATGTTGAAAACCAAACGGATCCTCTTCCTCCCACGTACATCTGCTCCTCCTCCTAAAATCCTTTATCTCATAGAAAATGGTACCACCATCTGCTGCACCACCCAAACCGGAATTGGGGGATAACTATAATTCCTCCCTCCGCGTTGACCTCCCCCAAATCCTATTGCCACTCTCAGTTCACTCTTTCATCATCTTCTGCCATGATGATTTCTACATCATGTTTCTCAGTGGTTCTCCCTGTTGTCCCTTTCCAGTAAATTCTGTTTTTCGGTGATAGATTGAGCTCTGTACGATGCAAATTGATCACCACCTAAAAATCCATCGTTGACTCCCCAGTGCTTTCAACCTCAATTCAAACTTCTACATGAGGATATCAAGACCTTTATCGTCTGGCTCCTAGAACCTCCCAGCTTCATCTCTTCCCACTCGCCATTGTTCACCCAAGCTTCCAGCCATCCTAGACATCAACATTCCTTTCCACACCTCCTTGCCTTAGCTA